ATCTAGTGGCTAGAAAGAAGAGCACTGAAATTCAGCAGATTCATTTACAGCTCTCTTTGTTCATCCACAGAACATGAGGTAGCCGTCCATTAACAAAGCAGGGGGCAAAGATCAGCAACCTTCGAATAGGCAGAGAAATGGGACTGAGATGAGGTGCTGTGGGGGTAAGAATGGCTCAACACTGTCTCACTTATTTTACTAGGACATCTACATGTGAACCGAAAAGAAGATGTGTTAAAGATCACTGAAATAAAGCCAAGCCTGTTGATGTGTGTGTGTGCTGTATAATTATAAGCATGGGAAGAAGGCATGTCCATAAATATTTGATGCCAGAACATGGATTAAAAGCACAAGAACACTATAATATGAAAAAAGTCCTATTTTCACAGTAGATCGTGACATAAATATTTGACAAATTGGCATCCAAGAGATGGAGACAGTTTAATACTTTCTTTTCTTTATTCTATTTGTTGGTTTGTTTGTTTCAAGCAGGGTATCTCTGTGTAGCCATGGCTGTCATGGAACTCACTCTGTGTAGACCAGGCAGGCCTCAAACTGAGAGATCTGCCTGCCTCTGCCTTCCAGGTTCTGAGATTAAAGGCCTGTTTGCCACCACAAGACATTTAGTGTTTTCTTCATATCCAACTATACCCCAACTCTCAACATAGCTCAGAAAGAAAGTAGGGTAAACCACACATTGAAGACAGTGGTTGTAATGATCTATCATAAGCCTGGTTGGTCTAACCCAACACTCCAGGTTTGGAGCTACGCTAACATTCAGCAGACCCAGTACACTGGAAGAAACCAATGCACGTACTTTGTGTAACCAGATAGATTCAATAAAAGAAACAGGAAAATGATTTGGGAAATGATAGATTTTGCAAACCCAACATAAACTCGGCATTCACAACTTGTAAGAATACATAAATGGATGGATTGAGCAACAGCACATGATACACAAAGAAGAGGGGCAAAGAACAGGTCTTGTATGTGTGAATTCAACAAATGTTGGGGCCTTAATTCTGTAGGACAAGGGGCCAAGGTAGAGGTTTATGGATGCTCAAGGCAGCATTCCTGGGTTTGAGCTTGCTCCCCCACACTAGCTAGCTGAGTCACCCCTGGGCACGTTACTGAAGTCTTCACAGTTGTCTCTTTATCTATGAAACATGGCGAGATCTTCTGTGTTCTAACTTATTGGAAAACCTGAGTAAGTGATATTTTCTTTTGAAATAATTGTATATTCATTTTGTTTTTGCACAGATGTTCAAGTGTGTACATGGGTGTGACGGCCCACATGTGGAGTTCGGAGGACAACTTGAAAGAGGTTTGTTTCCTCTTTGCGCCGGGTGGGTCCCACCAATCAAACGCAGTTTGTTAGGTTTGGCAGCAAGCACTTCAACCAACGGAGCCATCTGGCCTGCTTAAGGGTTGTGTATAAATAGGTGGTGGGCACATAATTTCTATATATGAAGTGTTAAATAAAGTTATGTTAGATAAATAAGGAAAGAGGAATCACGTTAAACTAAGACTTACTTCCAAATATAAAATAAGCCAAATATAAGAAATCCTTAAACAACATTCTGTGAATTCTCATTTATCCAGGTGATATGTTTCGATGTGGGGGGGGTTGGGGGAGGGGTCAGGGTGTGAGCGTGGGTGTGAGTGCATGAATGGATTTGAGTATATGTGTGAGTATGAGAGTGGACGGATCAGAGTATGAATGTGTGTCTGTTGCTAGAGACACACACATACCAGGCCAGCACTCTCCGGCTAATCTGAACCCTGGTCCAAGCAAGTGCTGCGGTCTGCTAGGAGACTCTGAGATGCTTAGCACCAGGAGGAAAAGGGAATCACTGAGCCTTGAGGGAAGTGTGGACCTTGATGAAAAGGTCCCTATCCAAGCACCTGATGCACTTAACTTCAGGATCGTCCCAGGACCCAGAACAAGAGGAAACAAGGAAGGCCCCTGTGAAAGCTTTTGGCTGGATTTCTGGAAACACTCCTTGTACCACAGGAGTTCCCAAGTATGAGAAAAGCCGGCTGACAGGGGCTCTGGAGTGGGCTCCTGTGGAGATCTTCCAGGAAGAGGGTCTCCCTGATCTGCTGACATGGGTTTAACTGAGTAAAGACTGATGGTGACCTCTGCCCTCTGATGACACTTCCTCAGAGCTGGAGTTTATATATTACCTACAGTCCCCCCTGACAGTCTGGAGCGCATCTCTCTACCCCTCAGAGAAAAGGGCAACAGCTATTTTACAATGTGAGCTTGGAGTAAATCTTTAAAAAAAAAAAAAAAAAAAAAAGGTTGAGATTAAATACAAAAATACCTTATCCTAATTACTTCCCAATGCTCCAGTTGAGCTACTTGCAAACACAGCTCAACTGGAGTCTGGACCTTGAACAAGGGTTCTTTACCATCCAGGTTTCCTAATAGTTGAACACATGCCTTTTCTCAAGCAAACCAGCAAAGGATGAAAAAGTTTTCCTTTCGAAAGGATAGCTCCCACACTAGCTTCCCCATACTCGATAATTAAATGTAAATATTACCAGAAGCTGGGGAGGAGAGTACGGATGTGTTTATTTAATTGTGATTATTCCAAAAAGTAAGAGTAAATGCAACTTACTTTACCACTGTGTAAAGTTTACTTTGAAAAAAACATACTCTCCTCCCCCCTCCCCAAATAAAAACTCTCCAGTTACCTCACAGTTCTTTATTTTCCTATCAGATGTGCCTCTGAACCCACGGGAACATGGACCTTGATCCCATCAACCAGCAGTGGGTGACACTGGGCTCAAGGTACAAAGTCCTCAGGTGGCCTTCATTCTAGGTCTAAGTAAGTTTAGTGAGGTGGGTGTATTTTTAGGAATTCAGGGCTATTAGCAGTCTGTGATTTATAAGGCAGTAGAGAAGACAAAAAACATACAACCACCAAACCCTCTGCAGTTAAACTACTTCTAAAGCGTGTCTGCAGCCACTGGGAATGTTCTCCAGCAAAGCCATTGGTGACTACAGAAATTATTTACAATGTGCTTCTGCGCTCTGATGGTCAGGCCCCCGGATGGTGCTGAGGGTCACCGCTAGTCTCCCAGGAGTCTCACTGCCTACTAAAGAATACCGATGCAATTTTAAAATCCTTAGCTGCTTTCCTTCTTAGAGATATCTTATCTGAAATCATGTTGGGAAATATGTGTATTTAAAAGATCCAGTTTTAAAGTGGCCAGATTGGAGGAGAAAACGAGTTCCTAGAAGGGATCTCTACTCCAAACGTTTTAAAAGTTGAATTTCCTGAGATTTGGGGAGTTAAAAAGGTGAAGCAGATCCTTATCAATTAATTAAAAAGAATGAAATAACAGTAGACAAAGGGAAAGGAGGGCTAAGAAACTTAAGGCGCTGCAGGCACAATCCTTTCTAGTCATTGATTAACAAATTAGGGAGTGCAGGAGCGGGGTGGGAGAAATCCCGGGGACTTGAGCCGTCTTGTAATTCACTACAGATTCTCCAGCAAGCTCGACCCAGGAAACAGAACGCCTGGCTGTGAGTTGAAACGAGATCCTTCTACATAGAGCAACGCGCTGTTTCTAACGTGTGAGCGTAGTTTATTTTCCTTTTGGCAATTTCCAAATTGATAGAAATGCGTTAATTGTGGTGCAAGTAAAGACCCTCATTCCTCGAGTCTGGAGATCGAGTGTAAGAAAGCAAGAATTCCCCAACGTATTAACACTAAGATGTTTGAAAGATATTTGCAAGTATTTTCCATCCGTCCACCAGTTCTTTGGCAAAACACAGTCTGGTGGCGATCCAGCGATCTGAGGTCACTTAGGACTTCAGCTACCCTGTTTAAGCAGCCCGCGCCCTCACACCATCTCCAGCCTTCCCTTGGCCTCTTTCTGCTCAGTTCCACCTCAGCTAAAGGATTACCCGTCCCCGACTCGACTCATTTCAGTCTAGGAGCCCCGCTGAAGCTCGGGTTCGGTTGGAGCTAAGAGCCGGAAAACACACCCTGAGCAGGCTGCAGCGCGAGTTGGTGGAGCCCGAAGGGCCGTACACCCGGGCTCGGGGAAAGAGGGTGGGGGTTCGAAAGCTCCGGAGGAAGGGCAGCCTGGGATCGGGCGAGCCACCGAGCGCGAAGTGCAGACCCCGGAGACGAACGCCCCCATCGGGTCACTCGCTTAAGTTGGCTCCGCGTGCGCCAGGGGGCCGGAGCGCGAGGCCACGCTGGAGACTCGGCTCCGCGCAGGGTGGCCCGGTTCTCTCCTTAGTCCGAGTGACCAACCGCAGTCGGGGAAGCTCTGGGGCACCCTAACGGGAAAGCCCGCCCCAAATCTGAAGCAGACAGACTACAAAGCACTCCCGCCCCCTACCGCAACAGCCCCGGGACTCCAACACTCAGATCCCGGGGACCCGGTCAATGTGTCCCCTTAGTGGCCGGTCCCCAGCCCAGGAGCCTGGCGCTGGCTCGGTCCTCGGGAAGGACCTGGAGATCAGAGAGCTGGAGAAGGGGAACCTCCGCGTCTCTCCACCGCCCCCGCCGGCCGGCGCGAAGGCGGGAGTGGAGAAGGCGCCACTCAGACGGTGGCGCTGGGAGAACTGTGGCCGCAGTTCTCCCAAGTTTGCCCCGGCGAGGGGGGATGCTATGGGCACCCCGCTCGGCTCGCCGCCTGCTCTTGCAGTCTCCTCGCTACCGTTCCCAGCTCGACCGGGCCGGCCCGACTCTAGGCCAGCCACCGAGGTAGCGGGGCGCGGGAGCAGAGACGCAGGGAGCGAGCGAGGGAGGGGACCTGGGTGCTCCCGCGTGTGCACACAATGAGGCGGCCGGCACGCACACCTTCCTCCCGCCGGAGAAGCGGGACGAGCCTCCGCCGCCCGGATGCGGGGACGCGGGGTCCCCGGGAGGCATCCGCAGAAAGTGAGCACCAAGTGAGCAACAGGGGGGAGGGAGAGGACGCCCCGCCGCCTCCCGGGGCTGCAGCGGGGACCCCGGGCCCGCGCCCGCGCTTACCTGCGATCTCCTGGTAGGGGATGTCCGTTAGGCTGAATCCCTTGGCACCGTAAGCCTGGCGGACCTCGTTGCAGCTCCGAGCCTTCACGTCCGCGGCGGCCGGGAGGGACAGAAGCAGCCCGGAGAGAGGAAGAATCACAGCCGGAATCCAAGAAGGCATGGTGCAACATGCAAGTCCACCTCGGTAGCCCCCAGCTCCCTGTGCGCTCTTCACCTTGCCCCTGGAGCCGAAAGCCCGCCAGAGCCCGCGGCGCGCTCCTCTGCCGCTGCCCAGCGTCACCCCCTTCCGCCAGCCGAGGGGACGAGCCGCGAAGCCCTCTGGACTGCGCTCAGCAAACTTTTATAAGCCAGATGGAGGATGGCAAGCCAACCAGGGCTGGCTTGGGAATGCAGCCGGCTCCGCTAGCCGCTCGGGTGGAAAACCGTGAGAGAAAGACGAGAGAAGAGGAGAAGGCAACGAAATGTCTTTTCTTTCTCTCTTTTTTTAAAATACCACAGTGGGGGCGTTCAGAGCAGCGGTCCGAGTTCCGAGCCGCAGAGTCGTGGAGCGCTGCGAGCTCGCCTGGCCAGTGTGTGCGCGACGAAGGTGGGACCGACCGCGCGCGCCGGCTCCCCCCCGGAGGGAGATGGACAGGCCGGCGCGAGTGTGTGCGCGCGAGTTTGTGGGTGTGAGCGCCGGGCTCTCGGGGAGGTGTGTGCGTGGAGACGTACGGAATCCAGGAGAAACCTCAGCTTCACACAGACTGGGGGAGCCTGTGCGAGTCTTCTAGAAATAGGAAGAGAGAAAATCCTGGAGACTGACACTGGAGGCTTGAGGGAAGGAGAAAGGCGGGGAGGGAGTGAGAGAGAAACGTGCTACCCAGAGCACCGCCGAAATTCTGAGGCGGAGTCGGCCGCAAAACCTGGAGTGGATCGCTTGCCGTGAGGTAAAAGGGGAAAGATTGGAAAGGTCCCTGTTTTCTCCATGCCCATCCGAAATGCAACCTTTCTTGACACAAATAAGCCGCAGTAAAAAGATAAAGTGTTTGTGGCGAGTAATTGTTGTGATTGTGCTAAATTTTTCTGGGGATCAAGAACATCGCATTTCCAATTGTTGCTCTTGCCCAAGTAACTAACATAAAGCCAGGAAAGAAATACACACAGAAGAGAAATCTGGGAGCATAGCAGAGTGACTGGCTGACTTCTGCCTGTCTTAGTGTTTCTGCTTTCTAAAAACAAGTAGTGAGCGCACATATTAGAGAGCCATAGATCTTCAGTCCCCTACAACTAACCTTTCTCTCTCCCCCACCCCGTGTGTGTGTGTGTGTGTGTGTGTGTGAGAGAGAGAGAGAGAGAGAGAGAGAGAGAGAGAGAGAGAGAGAGATGACATTACACTCTTAAATTACACTCTTGATTCCTAAATCATTAGGCTTGGGTTCTCAGTGTAGAGGTCCGATAATGGCAGACAGCAATGCATGAAGCGAGACACTGGGAAGGTCATGGTGTCTTAATTTTCTCTCATCAGAAACTCTCAACACACTGGCCTTGGCTTTTTCTTCCAAGTTCTCAGAATTCTCAAATGGAGAACCTAGTCATTTTCTCCTTGCAGTTCCAAAGTGGAGATTCTCTCTTAACCCATTTCCATGGTCCTTCTTATGCTAATGATCATAGGAAGCAACCAGAAAAGAAGACAAGCTGTTCAGTAGCATCTCCATGTGAACACTGTTTTCACAGCTCCTGAGACATCACTGGACAGTCAGGCCTAGTTTGGTGGGACCTGACTATAAAGCTGCAGGAGGATATTCTTCTCACCAGTGACCAGAAAGACTCATGATGTCTGAATCCTTTCATCTGTCATGGGCACCTTCATCATCATCAAACGCACTTGGTGCATCTTCCTCTCCACTAAGCCCTCTTTAACCCATCCTCAGTAAGACTCAGGGGAGGATCCAGGCTTCTTTGAAACAAAGTTGTACCTAGAGGGTGGTAGAGAGCTTGCTTTACAAGCACAAGGACACAAGGGCTTGTGTTCCGTTCCCCCTGCCCCCAAAAGGCATACCCTTGCCAACAGTGGTGAAACCAAGACAGGTGGAGCTTTAAGCCTAAGGCAGTCCCTGTCACACAGGAGGTGGTGGGGAGCCTGAAGAGGTGAGTCCTCAATTAAGAGCGCATACTGTTCTTGCAGGAGCCTCCCCCCCCCCCAAAAAAAAAATGTGCAGGATCACACACAAACACAAATTGAGATGACAAAAATAAATCTTTTCTTTTAAGGAGGTAGACTGAATTCCTTGAGGGGACACCAAAGGCTGTCTTCAGGATTCCACCTTGTGTGTGTACTGGCAAACCCATGTGCATACAAAAGACAACTGAGATGGTTTATGATCGTTTAGAGATTGGCTACTCCTGTTGTGTTTAACGAGCAATCAATACTCGCGTAGAGCAGTAGGCTATCGTAGCCTTTGTAGACTTGTAGGCAGCCTAATGCCTGGAAAGTTACTAGTTCCTCAAGCATAAATAGATGAGCGTGAATTTGCTGGGGAGAGTCAAACTGTTTGTGATTGGCTTGTGAACTTTAGTCATACTAATGAATGAGGTAATATGCCTACTTCACCTACTGTGTAATACTAAATTGTTTGAAGTAGTGTTAAAAAAAAAGTAAGAATTTATCTCTGGGCAACACCTTGATGATGTATTGGGATGATCACGTGATGTGATAGAAGTTCATAGAAAAGACCTGATGAGAAATAAGACAGCGCCTATGACTTAGATAGAAATGTTGGCCAAGGGGTTGAATCTCAACTATCATGTATATACTGGACACAGTAAGGAGAAGGAAACAAAAGGAGGAACAAGAGCAAACTCAAGAGGAGATACCCATAGTACTCTGTCACCATGTAAAGGATCTGGGTGTTTGAGACTTAAACTAGGAGGAGGGGAAATGGGAAGACTATGAAGACGTGTTTTGAAAGATGGATTTCTAGATGGAGATTTGGATTTGGATTTGGTGCTTAGTTTGGTAGACAAGGAAAGTCATTGAACTGCTGAGGGTGGTCTTGATGGAAGTGCATGTTCTGGGCAGTAAGATTCCTATTTCAGCCCACTTTACCACCCCAGCTGGTTCTCAGAACCCTTGGAGTCAGAATAGAAGTGGAACCTTAGTTCCATTAGTTCAAGTTCTAGAGAAAAGAGTTTGGTCTTCAACAGCCACAGGTGGTAGGTAAATCAGGCACCGTCTCTCAGTCATCCTGAGCAATGTGTTTGTGGGCCCTGGGCTCACCCCAAGGAAAGAGACTCATTTGGCCTAAGTCATTGCTGGCCATCCTTTTCCTGTTCAATTAGATAGTATAGAGTTGGGGTGAAGGAACCATTTCTGACCAAAATAATTTAAGATGAAATTTCTAAGAACTACTTTTTCTGATTGAAAAGCAAAAAGAACACGGGAGAGCTGACTAGTTGGAAGTGCTTACTCGTCTTCCAGGAGATCCAAGTTTAGTTTTTAGCACTCATGTTAAGTGAATCACTGGATCACAGCTACCTGGAACTTTAGCTTCAGGGGATCCAATGCCCTCATCTAGCATTTGTGGACTTACAGACACCTGCACGCACACACACACACACACACACACACACCTTGACACAGTCATCTGAGAAGAAAGAACTTCAATTGAGAAACTTTATAGAGAAAATATCTCTATAACATTGGCTTGTAGGTAAGTTTGCAGGGCATTTTCTTAATTAGTGATAAAAGCAGGAGGGCCGAGCCCAGAGTAGATGGGGCTGTCCTTGGGATGGTGGTCCTTTGTTCTTTGTGAAAGCATACTGAGCAAGCCTGGAGGAACAAACCACTAAGCAGCGCCCCTCCGTGGCCTCGGCATCAGCTCCTGTCTCCAGAGTCCTGTCCTGCTTGAGCTCCTGCTCCAAATGCTTTCACTGATGAACAGTTCTATGTGAGTGAACCAATTTCCTTCCATGATGAACAGCGATGTGGAAGTGTCAGCCAAACAAGCCCTCTCTTCCCAAGTTGCTATTGGGCACTGCTTCTTCACAACAATAGAAACGCTAAGATATATTTAAAATAAAAATCTTGTTAAAGCAGAAGGCTCTTTTCACCTCAACCTCTTGACCCCTCACACCTACGTGTGTACTGTGCCTAGGAAACAGGAAACAAGCCATTGCTAAAAGAGACAATGGCAGACAGAGGCGTACCAATACTCAAGGTTCCTGCTCTTTATCTGAGTCACCAGCTCCAGCTCCAAACCTCTTATTACATAATCAATAAGTATCTCGCTGTTTATGTATATGACCACTTGGGATTTCTGCTTCTTCAAATGAAAACAATATAAACACAGACACCAATCTGAAGTCTGAAGAGGAGAAATTGAAGGCAAGAGACAAATATGAGAAAACAAATTGGAGGCAGCAATGTGGAATCCATGTCGGGAGATTTTCCAGCGTGGAACAAATCGCCCTGAGTATCAAAGACAATGGAACTGGGAGGATGATGAAGAGGCCGCCAGGAAACCCTGGAGAAGCGTTAGCATTAACCTGTAGTGCATGCCAGGCCACAGGGAATGACATGTAAAATGGGCAGAAAGACGGTGGAAACGTCAGGTACAAAGACTTTGGCCATGCAGATAGGTTTGGGTTTCCCACACTGACTCTAGAAATCAAATGAACTGAAAAGCAATCTCACTTCCCTTAGGAGATTCCTTTACATTTTTTCTTCTCTTCTCTGTACTATCCGTGTTTTCTACAGAAAATTCAATTTTATTTTTTATGATGTTTTTTATGTTGGTTTTTTGAGACGGGCTTTCTCTGTGTTGCTTTGGACTTTGGAGCCTGTCCTGAAACTATCTCTCTTATACTATTATCTCCCACATGTAAGACAAATATTAACATTGTTATGTATAAAATAAAACTTTGACCTGTGAAATTTTTCTTGTAACTTTTAAGACGATAAAATTGCATATAATCTCGAAAAAATTAAAACAATACATTTTTAAAAACTGGCTTGAGTGAAAAGAAAACTCAAAAGCCACAATTACAAACTTTGAAATAGTTTTGCTCAGTTATATTATCTCATGAGTGAGAAGCTGATTGAATTCTTGGCTTTGATTTTTGTGTGTTTTCGATCAAAGTGAACAAATAAGTTCAAACAGAATTGTTTATAAGCAAGGAGAT